CAGGGCCTGAGCTGCCTAGTGTGGGCACAATTGGCTAAGGTTTGCCACAGCTGCCCCAAAACACCAAGACAAGAAAGGGTTGGCTCCCTGCAACCTGGCAACCATACAATTCCATTCACCTTTTCTAAGTATATGGTTGGATGAGTTTGACAGATGTGTATGGTCACGTAACAACCTCCGTAATCCAGAGATAGAACATTTCCCTCACCCCAGAAAGATCTCTCGGCCTTTTTACCACTGATCCCCTCCTCTTGCACTTGGCTGCTGGCAACATCGGATCTGTTTTCTGTCCCTACTGATTTGTCTCTTCCAGAATATCAGACCAATGACACCATTCAGGCTGTAGACTTTCAGACCTGGCTTCACTCACTAACCCTAAAGCTTTTGAGATTCATCTATGTTGTTCCAATTATCAATAGTTTCTGTAGTGCCCAGTAGTATTTCACCACATGGGTAAATCACAGTTTGATGGGCATGTGGTTCTTTCCTGTTGGAGGTGTGAGAAATAACGCTGCTATCCATATTCACATACGGGTCACTTGGTGGATACACACTTTCACTTCTCTAGTGTAGGTACCTAGGAGTGAAATTTCTGGGTTGCTAAGTGTATATTTAAAAGAAAGTGAGACACTAGCTGGGCTTGGTGGCACATGCCTGTAATCCCAAGCACTGAGTGAAGCTGAGGCAAGAGGATTGCAAGTTCAAGTCCCACCTGAGAAGTCACTGCCCAGGCCCAGGGTAAGTGAAGCCAAACTTGGGCACCAGGTCTCCTAGATCCCATTTACCTTGTCTCAAAAATAATTCAGTAATCAATAAATAAAAAGGGCTGGGATCCCCAGTACTGTAAAAAAAAAAGATAAACTTATCTGAAGTGAATATGTTCTATATTTACTATAAAATTATTTTCTTTTCTGTGTTTTTTTTCCTTTGGGTGCTGCAGATTAAATCTAGGGCCTCATGCATGCTAGACAAGAACTCTACCACTGAGCTATGCCCTCATCTTGGTTTTTATCTCTGTGAGTGGATCTGTTCTCTTGTCAGTGACCACAGAGAAAGACCTTTAGTTTACTAATTCAATACGAAACTCAAATTATGGAACACTTGTAAAAAGTTTTGTTGTATTAGCCCTTTTCATATTATCTATCACTTAAAGGATTGAGGCAGGAGTGCCCATCCCTCTAGGGGGACCAGGTGTCTCAGTATGCCTGAGACTGTCTTGGTTTAAGCACTGAAAGTTCCATGTCCTGGAAACCCTCAGCCCTGGGACCAAGCCGGGTCAGGTGGTCACCTGCTAAAGTTTCAGGTGCTGTGCTGGGCACTGTCCATCTGTACATCCCTCATGCATGGACCAATGTCAAGGAGGGTAAGTTTGTTTGTGTCTACCTTAGGAAATAGCCTTAGAGATTGCTACCCAGCCCCAAGGTAGGTGGAGCAAAACTTTAGAACCAGGCTCCCACCTTAGGAGCCCAGTTTTGGGTCCTCAAGCAGGTGGATAAGGAGGTGGCCGGGTGGCTGCATTTGAGGCCCAGTGGGCCGGGCCGGGGCTTTGCTGCCCTCTGGTGGCAGGTGGGACAGCACTCTGAGTCTGAGTCTTGTGGGTCCTCCAGCAGGAGGGACCAATGCCTTTATCCCAAGTGGCAGAACCTCAAATCTGGCCTCAGCCGAAGGGGGTCACTAGGTAGACAGCTCCACCAGGGTCTTGTCTCATCCATCTGTGACTCACATAATTACTCGGGCCCTAATACCAGACCGTAGCTTTGGGTCTCTGTGACCTTCCCCTCTCCCTGGGCCTCAGTTCCTTTTCTGTATAATTGGGATGATGAAAATGTCCACATAGACCAGACTTAGATATGGAAGTTGCTATTATCGTCTCTTTAACTCCCTGCTGCCTCTGTGCATTGATCCACTGCATTCATTCGCTTAATTTCCACACAGCAGCTATCACAATGTGCCAGCTGGGGTAGTGCCTGGGAGACATCTGCCAAGCAACAGACACTGCCCCTTCCCCCCTGGCTCTGTCACTCTGTGCTACTCCAATATCTCAAGTTTTCATTCACACATTGAGTGATCATTTATTTAATGAGCATTCATTCATTTAATGAACATGCATTCATCCTTTTTCACACTCAACTTCCTTATTCATTCATTCATTTGTTCATCAATCATTTGGTCATCTCAGGAACACATCTATTCACTCTTCATTTGTTTTTCCATTCCTCTGTTTCCCAAGCATTCTAGAAGCAACCCCTGTGTACCAGGCCAGGATTAGATGCTGGCGTTCTGCCCAGGCCTGGTAAGGACACTGTGGTAACCACCACACCAGCCATCAGGCCCTGGAGGAGGGAGCACTGAGGAGAGAGCAACTTACTGTCTAAAGGTGGGTGGAGGGCGTTCCAAAAAGGCTTCAAAGAGGAGACAGCACTTTTTCACATTTTGCATTTGGTAGGGAGGATTGAACCTAGGGTCTTTCTACTGAGCTACATTCCCAGCCCTTTTCTTTTTTTTTTTTAAATTTTGAAATAGGGTCTCGCTAAAACGCTAAGTTGCAAAGGCTAGGCTCATACTTATGATCCTTCTGCTTCAGCCTCCCAGAGTACTGGGATGTCAGGCATGTGCTATAATATCCAGTGAGGAGATAACATTTAAGACAATTAAGAAGGATGTATAGGTCAAGCATGGTGGCACATGCTTATAATCCCAGCTGCTTGGGAGACTGAGGCAGAAGGATCACAAGTTCCAGACCAGCCTGGGCAATTTAGTGAGAACCTGTTTCAAAATACAAAATGAAAAGGACTGGGGATGCAGCTCAGAGGTAGAGTGTTTGGCTAGCATGCATGAGGCCCTGGGTGTGATTCCCAGTACCACCACCACCACCACCAAAAAAAAAAAGAGGTTGTGTGGGCATTCTCCAAGGAGCTTAAGGTGGTGTCTGTTTTGTCAAGTGTTTGGAGAAAAGTGAGGTGCCAAGTTGGTAGAATGGATGGTGAGTTTGTACGTGTGATTTCACCCAGGTCAAGCCTTCCCCACATTCCAGGGACAGACTTGGGCCAGTCATGGGCTTTCCCAAATTTCCCTCACCCTTGGAAAGCCACCCACTACCAGGCACTCTCACCTGTCCATGCTGGGGACCCAGTGGAGAGCTGCCTTGGGCTGGGCAGGAGGCAGCAGCACTAAGGTGCCTGCCCGAGGTGCCATGTTCATACAGTAAATGTTTGTTGAGTACCTTGCTAAGGCCCAGGCCTTGTCCCCGACAATGGAATACAGCAGTAAACAAGACCAACCATCTACTCTTAAGGAGGGGAAGGGACAAAAGACAAAACAAGAAAACCAACAGCTAGGGCCAGGCATGGTGGCCCACACCTGTAATCCCAGCACTTGGGAGGCTGAGGCAGGAGGATCACTGCAAGTTCGAGGACAGCCTGGGCTATATAGTGGGTTCAAGGCCAGCCTGGACTACATGGTGAGACCCTACCTCAACACTCCCTCCCCAAAAGAAAAAGAAAACCAACAGCTAGCCTAGCATGCCTATAATCCCAGCACTCTGGGAGCCTAAGGAAGGAGGATCACAAGTTTGAGCCCAGCCCAGGCAACTTAGCAATTTAGCAAGATCCTGTCTCAAACAAAACAAAAATTAAAAATTGCTGGGGATATTGCTCAGTGTGAAGGCCCTGGGCTCAATCCCCAGGGGCTGAAGCGCACCAAGAACACACCTGTAATTGAACAAATTGTGTTTATGGCTTATTGCAGGAAGGAATACTCTTATTTCAGTGAGAGGGTGTTGAAAGGTGTATTACAGGATTTGGGCTTTGTGTAAGGTGATTTGGGGAGGATTCAAATAAATATCCTTTTGCTGTGGATTAGATACTGGCAGGAAGTGAAGTCTATGATTAGATAGCTTAATAAATATCTGTATTAGAGTCTCCAGAGAAACAACCAATAGGATGTATTTTATTATAAAGAATTTTATTACGCAGAATTATGGAGATTCACAAGCCCTAAGCTCTGCAGGTGAGACAGGAAGCTAGAGAGCCACAAAAGCCAATAGTGCGGTTCCTGTCTGAAAGAACTGAGTTGGAAGGCCTGAGACCCAGGGCAGCCATGTTTCAGCCCCAGTCTGAAGGGCAGGCAAAAAGCCAATGCTGTATCACTTGATTCAGAAGCCAAGAATCTGAAGAAAGGTTGGGTTTTGGGTTTTATTTAGGTTTTCAACTAATTAGATGAGGTTCACCACCTTACAGAAAAAAAAATCTACTTAGACTACCAATTTAAATGATGTTAGCCAGGCATGGTAGTGCACTCCTGTAACTCCAGGACTCCGCAAGGTTGAGGCAGGAGGACAGCAAGTTCGAGTCCAGCCTGGGTAACTTAGCCATTTAGCGTGACCCTGTCTCAAAATAAGAAAAAGAAAGAAAAGTGCTGGGGATGTAACTCGGTGTGAAGACCCTGGTCCCCCCCCTCCCCCAAAAGTAAGGCTCATTCACTCTGCAGAGGTATAGTTGCAGGGGGCCAGGCAATTTCAAGATGATAAAGATCTAGCCTTAGTCTTCAGAGAACTTGTTGACACGTTTGCGCTGTGGCATTCAAATAGGTGGAAGTAGGGACCAGACACAAGCACCGGCCTGAGTGCTGACCACTACGACGCCCAGGGGGTCTGCAGAGATCAGCTGGGGCCAGGCCACTCGGGCATGAAGGGCCACCTCTCCTGCAAGGAAGTGAGCGTCAGGCTGCACAGAGTAGTTAAGAAACAGGAAATGAACTCAAGCAGCTTTGATGTAAGGAAACGCGGTGAGCGCCGGGGATTTAGCTCAGTGGCACTGTGCCTGCCTTGCAAGTGAAAGGTCTTGAGTTCGATCCCCGGTACAGAAAAAAAAAAGAAAGAAAAGAAAAGAAAAGAAAAGGGAAACAAAACAAGTAAACACGGCCGACCTCGGGCTCATGAATATTCAGCGATCTCTTTCTGGCTTGCGACTCCGCCCCAGCCCTCCGTGGTTGCAGTGCGCATGCGTACCAGGCGCACCTCTGACGCCATAAGGGCGCGCCCCCCTAGTCCCTTGTTTAGGGAAATAGGAAAGCTTCTATGGCGAGCTCGGCCCCTTCTGCGGTGCGACCACCGAGGCCAAAGAAAGAGCCACAGGCGCTCGTCATCCCCAAAAATGCGGCGGAGGAGCAGAAGCTCAAGCTGGAGCGGCTCATGAAGAACCCGGTAAGACGGGGCTCCACTACCCGTCCAAAGCCACCTTTTGATTGCGCGCCCCTGAGGGTCCACGAACAGCCCGCGTCGCCAGACTCTGGAACTCCTTACCCTGCCGCAGGACAGTCCTTTGGGAGGTTCAGGCTGCCCTGGAGATAGAGAGCTTTCCGACTGTGCTTATGTTAGAGGCCAGCCTGCATGAAGGCGCCGTGAAGCACTCTGACGTCCTTTCTGTGTTAACTTCCTGGGAACAAAACAGTAGGCTGAAAATAAATATAGAATCTGCAGCTTAGCAAAAGGACTTATTTCTTCTAAACAGCTCCCATTGTTAAAGAGCCATGGCCGAGACGCTAGGGGCAAGTCACTTCTCGCCTCCTTCTTCCCCCGTCCAGGCCTCAGTCCTTTCGGTCATAAAACCATTGGATGAGAAGGTCTTTTATACCTTTGATTAGGAAAAGTCGGCTCTCCTCTCATGTTAAAAAGTTGGATGTTTCTAGCCATAATTGGTGGCTTAGATTTCGGAGTTCTGTTCTGGAAAGTGCAGTTCTTGGAAGTCTTAGCTGTTTTACACCCAAGTATACAGGATGAACTGAAGCCAAGATACGGTAGAACATAAAATGACCCCCGGGTTTCAGGACCAAAGCACCCCTCTTCGATAGTCTTTGATTGCAAGAGATGTGACTTTGTCAGGAGATTTTATACCTACAAATGCTTTCCTGTTTAAATATTGCAGGACAAAGCTGTGCCGATTCCAGAAAAAATGAATGAATGGGCACCTCGACCTCCCCCAGAATTTGTCCGAGATGTTATGGGTAATGTGTTTTGTCTGTGTAACTGTAATTTTTAAAGGTATATATAAAAATTGTGCAGTTGGTATTTGATAGGGAAGAAATTCACTACTTAGTCTCTTCCTCCTTTTAATACTATTAAAATTGAATTTTTAGTGACTCCACAGTCAGTACTTACGCAATGAGGAATGTAATGATGCCTACAGTATGCTGGGCACTATGCTTGCTCTTGGGTACAAATGGGAAAAGGGCAGGCATGATCCTGTGTTTTTGTGTTTGTGTCCCTTTTGGTTAAGGGTAGCCTGTGTTGGTAACTGGATTTTGTCTAAAATTCTGGACTGTTCTGGCTACAGGTTCAAGTGCTGGGGCTGGCAGTGGGGAGTTCCATGTGTACAGACACCTGCGAAGGAGGGAGTACCAGCGGCAGGACTACATGGATGCCATGGCGGAGAAGGTCAGTGTGCAGGAAGATCGGAGAGCATTCACAACTTTAGGAGAAAAAAATGTGGTTTTTTTGTTTGTTTTTTTTTTAAGATAATGTTTGAAGGGGAATAGATACAGTTATGATGGAGGTCTGCCTTCTACATTCACACCCGTCAGGCCCAGCATACCACGATGCTCACACTAGGAGAACAATGAGGGATGGGAGCCTTCCTTGTGTGTAGAAGGGCAGTACATCGTCCCCTCTGGCCTCTAACCCATCTGCGTCTGGCGCGTAATAGAAGGGCAGGGAGGATCTCCCACACCGCTGCAGTGTCACCTTCCCCTTCTCTCTCTGGCTGCATGCTTAAACGCAGTTAGCTGTGTATTTGGTACAAGTAGTGAGTGCCATGCTTTCAGTGTGTGTGCTGCTTTGCAGATTTTATTTTCTAGCTTTGGGAATGGCATCTTCTCATGACAGGTGTGAAATAATTGACTATTTTGCAAGCTTGAGAATTGCTTAAGAAAGTATATTTTAGCTGGGCGTGGTGCACAACCTGTAATAACAGGACTCGGAGGCTGAGGCAGAAGGATTGCTTCGAGTTCAAGGCCAGCCTAGACTACATAGCAAGACCTTGTCTCAGAAAGAAAGAAAGAGACAGATAGACAGACAGAGAGGCAGAGAGAGACACAGAGACAGAAAAATTGTACTTTAAGAACCATTAAGTGAGATAGGGAAGGGGATTAGAAAAAGAAACAAGCTGTGTTATATATATGTATACCCCCTTCCCAAGATGTTTGTAAACTGCATGTACATGAACCATTAAAAGCTGAACACTGTGATACACACTTGTAGTCCTACCTACTCTGGGAGGCTGAGGCAAGAGGATTGCTTGAGCCCAAGAGTTTGAGGCCAGTCTAGGCAGTGTAGCAAGACCTTGTCTCAAGAGAAAAAAATAACATTAAGCTTTTTGGTGTTTTTGTTTTTTATTTTTTTGGTGCTAGGAATTGAACCCAAGGCCACATGCCTGCTAGGCAAGTGCTGTACCTCACGTACATCCCTAGTCCTTTTGAAACATTTTATTTTGGGACAGTTTCTCACAAAGTTGCCTCAGCTGGCTTCAAATTTACAATCCTACTTCAGCCTCTTTTAGACAACTTTTTCTTTTGGTACCAGGGATTGAACTCGGGACCTTGTCCTTGTGAGGCAGGTGCTGGAACCACTGAGCTAAATCCCAGGCCCTACTTCAGCCTCTTGAGTAGCTGTGGCACTCTGCCTCCATAGACCTTTTTTTTTTTTTTTTTTTTTGGTACCAGTGATCGAACTTAGCTCCTTCTGCATGCAAGGCAGGCGCCGGAACCACTGAGCTAAATTCCCGGCCCTCCATAGACTTTTTATATTTGGCTGGAGGGGCCTGAAACTCTCCTGATGCTGAGTAGAACAATGTATTTTGAATGTTTTCACCAAAGATACATAATAAATATTTGAAGAGACAGACACATTTAGCCTAATTTAAACATTACATGTATCAAATAGTTTCAATTTTTTGTTATTTTTTTGTGTGTGTTTTTCAGTGCTAGGGATCAAACCTAGGGCTTGTACATGCTAGGTCTACCCCGGAGCTGTTTTTGTTTTTATGAACAGTTAAAAATAAATTTAGGGCCAGAGATTTAGCTCAGTGGTTCCACCACCTGCCTCGCAAGTGCAAGGTCCTGAGTTTGATCCCTGGTACCAAAAAAAAAAATAAATTTAAGTTAAAAATAAAATTAAGAAAATTTAAAAAAAGAAAAGAAAAGAAATTGAGCGGCACAGAAATTGAGACCCTGGTGTACATTCAGAACTAGGATCTAGCTAGAGGCCCATAATCCTGCTGAGGTGGGAGGATCTCAAGCTTGAGGCCAGCCTGGGCAATTTAGTGACTTAACACCCTATCTCAAAAAATAAAAAGGGCTGGGATGTAGCTGAATGTGAAGGCCCTGGGTTCAATTCCCAGTACTGGAAAAACCAAAACTACTTAGGGTCATGGTAGCACATAGACCAACTGGGCAACAGTTCTTTACATAACCACTGCCAATCAAGTGTTACATGAGAAAGAAAGTGGTGGGTTTAGAGCTCCCTTTAGGTAGCTGTTTGTACGGTATAGTTATTTGATGGAAATGTGCTTGCACATATACCTACCACTAGAGGGCACATTTTTCAAAATACCTATAATAAGCTTTGCTCCGCGCTGGGCCATTTTTTGAGGCACTGAAAATCAGTAAACATAAGTAAAACTTTTTTCTTTGAAATTGTAGCAGGTAGCCACATGCTCCAAGAAGAAGCCCTGACAGAATGTCTAATCTTGTCAATATAATCCAAAATACAGTACTTGGAGAGCCCCAGGAGGATTTGGAGTTAGCTGTGAGGCAGCATTCAACATTGAAATATCATTTGTGATTAATTTCTAAAGCCTTGGGCTTATTTTGGGTAAAAGATGCCCTTCTGTCAGCTTGAGTCACAATTATATTTGATGCCTTAAAATTAGAGGTGGTCGTTGTAATGGGAGCAAAGGGAAAAGCAGCTTCCTTTCTGTGTCTGTAGCAGAATCCTCAAGGCAAAGGAGAAGCTCTCTCCATTGTATTTTGGTGCCATGATGTGTTAAAAAAAAAAAAGTTATCTGAAATGACTTCAGATGTAGCTGTGGTTGTTTGTTTTCCCTCTTGGTGCTGTTGGGGATTGAACCCAGGACCTTTGCACTGAGCTACATCCCCAGCTCTTTTTTTATTTTTTATTTTGAGACAGGGTCACACTTATCACTAAGTTGCCTAGACTAGGCTCAAACTTAGATCCTCCTGCCTCAGCCTCCCAGAGTGCTGGGATGACAGGATTGTGCCACCATGCCTGGCTCGTCCACATGTTTTTTAAAGGGCATTGAAAGCATTGTGCAGGTTAAGAATGTCTTTAATCTCTCCAAATTAAGGAAGCCACTCCCTTAGTTAAGGTAATAGCTTCTGTTATATGCAGCTGGTAAGAGCAGAGAGGAGGCACCACTGAAGAGGAACTCCTTAGGGCATTTTACTTCTTTTATAACTGAATTTTGAGTTATTTAATGCCCCCACCCCCCAAAGATCTTGTTTCATTTTTGGCTAAAATTGAGTTGAGTCTGTAACTTGAATGAGAATGGCTTTTGTGTTTAACTAGCTCATCAAGAAATTTTGTAGGGTTTTTTTGTTTGTTTGTTTGGTTAAGTCTTTTTTTTTTGTATCTTGATGATTTGTGGAGATTTTGCATGTCTCTCATCACATATATTAAAGGTGTTTCAAAGTTTTTCAATTGCAGTGGTGCTGGGTAACATTTTAATTGGCTATGAATGGAAATCAAGCAACTATACTGACATTTGTATAGTGCTCCTATATATTTTTTTATTCATTCAAATATTTATTGAGCAGCTAAAGAGATACTGAGTAATTAAAACATTGTCGAGAGAGGCATAGGCACGAGTAATAGAAAGCAGCGTGTGAGGCTCACTGACTCACAACAGTGAGAGTGCTGTGGGAAGGACATTGCGTCCAGCCCGGAAGGGGCTGTGAGCGCCAGATCAGGGGAGGGGGTTGAGATTAAAATGGAAGACCTGGGTGTGGACTGTGATGATACTCAGTGTGGGCTGTGTGTCTCTTCTTTTCCTCTCTCCCCATCTTTGGACTTGTCAGTATGCAGGATTGTTCAGTGTGCTTTTTCTTTACTTGCATTTTTGCTTTAATGTCTTCTATAGAACTAGGTCCTGTGAGTGTTTTAGGAATTTTTTTCCTGGTTTCTGAAGGATTCCTGGCCCTCTGATCTTGGTGTTGATGGTTCTTGAGTCTTGCATTCTGGCTCGATTTTTATGCATTTTGACTGGAGTATTTTGTATAGATTTCTTCCCTGGAGCTTTCTCTTCAGTTTCCCCATCAAAATCCATCATCATCTCTGTCATCTTCATCCTCATCTTCATTAGTAGCTAGTTTTCCTTTTTTTTTTTTTTTTTTTTTGTGAAACTTGCTACTACCTCCAGGGGCAGATTGGTTTTTAGATAAACTTAAGAGTTTTACCTGTTCTTCCTCTTCCTCTTTTTTTTTTCCCCCCATTTGAGACAGGGTCTCACTATGTCATTCAGGTTGGACTTGAAGTCACTACGTAGCCCAGGCTGGCCTTGAACTCACGGTGATCCTCTTCCCTCAGCCTCCCAAGTACTGAAATTACACCCATGTGCCACCCTTCCTGGCCCCTCTTCATCTTCTGACTCTGCATCTTTCTGCACAGCTACTAAGTGCTGTCCACTAACTCTCAGCCTTAGGACCACAGGTGGTGTAATTTCAAAGCCCCCAAGGGAAACCATTAGCTGTATAGACATTTTCAAAGTTGCCGTTGTTACTCTAATTGACTGCCTATGTAATTCATTGCCTCTGCTTTGACAATGTGCACCAACCCCTAAACTGACCATTCTTACTGATAACTGATGCTCATTTTCATCATTATCCACCTTAAAGTGATAATCTCCGTTGGCCTTTAGTTCACAGCTGAAAAGATAGTTCTGGGTCCTCAGGGTATCCACGTCCATGTTCAGGGGCTCTTCCATGGGGTGGTGGCATGCACTTAGCATAGGTGGGAGAGAATGCAGATGGAGACAAACAGCCACTGCCCCAGAGGACAGACGCACAGCATGGAATCCCAGGAAGGAGTGTGCCTATATTTGCCCACTTTAATATTAACGCAAGTCAGTGTAGTGACCAATTACTGATTTTCCAAGTATACATCTGACTTCTAACCCTACAGAGGGATTTTTCCATGTTATTCATTTTTAGAGCATCCACAAAAAAGTTCTTTTCCAGGGCTAGGGATTAAGCTCAGTGGTTCCACCACCTGCCTCACAAGCGCAAGGTCCTGAGTTTGATCCCCAGTAGCAAAAAATAACAACAACAAAAAGTTCTTTTCCTAGAGGGGGCCATGGAGGCACATGCTTATAATCCCAGTACCTGGGAGGCTGAGGCAAGAGGATTGCTGTGAGTTCAAGGCCAATCTGAACTACGTGGTGAGATCCTGTCTCAAAAAACACACAAAAAGGGGCCGGGGATTTAGCTCAGTGGTTTCGCTGCCTGCTGCACAAGCGCAAGGACCCGAGCTCAATCCCCGGTACCAAAAAAAAACACACACAAAAAGTTCTTTTCCTCAGTGTAGCCATAATACCCGTTAATTTCACTTTCTTTGCTTTTTTTTTTTTTTTGGTACCGGGGATCGAACTCGGGTCCTTGTGCTTTCGCAGCAGGCAGCGAAACCACTGAGCTAAATACCGGGCCCAATACCTGTTAATTTCATAAAAAATATTTGTGCAGTTTAGGGAGACTCAGACACAGATAGTTTCAAATTGTATTTGTCTGCTTTTTATGAGAAAAGAAGCCACTTTACCCAATAACATTTGGCTTTCCAATAATTTATTAAAATCAGAGGCTAGAGAATTTTTTTTTGGGTACCAGGGATTGAACTCAGTCAGGACCTTATGCTTTCAAGGCAGGCACAGCGCCACTGAGCTAAATCCCCAGCCCTAGAGAATTTCTATATAACAAATACTTTTAAAAATTAAACAACATTGGGCTGGGGATTTAGCTCAGTGGTGTAGCTGCCTGCACCACAAGTGCAAGGACCTGAGTTCAATCCCAGGTACCAAAAAAAAAAAAATTTAAACAACATTGATAAAATAGATGATTATTCTGTCAGGTTTCCATCACTGTGACAAAATACCTGAGATAGTCAGTTTATAAGAATGAAAGTTGGAAGCACAAGGACCCAAGTTCAATCCCCGGTACCAAAAAAAACCAAAACAGATAGACTTTGGGTCACGCTTTCCGAGATGTCAGTCCCTGACCACGTATCCCTATTGCTTTGGTCCTGTGGTGGCATCCTTATCATGGCAGGATGCACGGTAGAGGAGGCTGCACACTTCATGCCAGCTGCAAAGCAGAGAGAGAGAGAGAGAGAGAGAGAGGCCCAGAACTCAGCGACACAAATGACCTGCCCTTCTTCCATTGGACCCAGTCCCCTTGAGGTTTCACCACCTCCTAGTAACGCCATAGGCTGGTGACCAAGCCTTCAGCACACGGGCCTTTGGGGGACGTTTAAAGTACAGATAAATGCAACAACTTGCATGAGTCTTCTTTGTTTTTTTTTTGGTACCAAGGATCAAACTCGGGTCCTTGAGCTTGCGAGGCAGGTGGTGGAACCACTGAGCTAAATCCCCAGCCCCGCATGAGTCTTTTTCAAAAATTTGAGACAGTGTCATGCTGAATTGTCCAGGTAGGACTCAAATTTGCACTGCCTCAGTCTCCCTGAGTAGTGGGGTTAGAGGCATGTGCCACTGCGCCTGGCTGCATGCTTCTTTAAAACATGCTGAGTGGGCTGGGCATGGTGCTGGTAATCCAGCTCTCTAGAAGACTGAGGCAGGAGGATCACAAATTCAAGCCCTGTGTGGGCAGCTTAGCCAAGACCCTGTCTCAAAAAACAACAGCCGGGGATTTAGCTCAGTGGTGCCGTGCCTGCCTCACAACTGGAAGGTCCTGAGTTCGATCCCCAGTACCAAACAACAAAAACCAAAACCATGCTGAGTGAAAGAAGTCTTGCACAAAAAGAGACCATATCATATGATGCAATTTATATGAAACCCTAAAACAGAAACAAGTTTTCTGTGTGAGAAAAAAATTAGAACAGTGGTTATCTCTGAGTCAGGTCAGAGGCTGATTGGGTAAAAGTATGAGGGAACTTTCTGGAGTAATTAAAACTTCTGGCTTAAGGGGTGGGATTTAGCTCAGTGGTTCTGCAGCCTGGCCCTCAAACACGAGGTACCAAAAACAAACAAACAGACAAACAAAACTTACGGCTTATACAGTAGTCTTGTACACTTTTAATAGATAAGCAAACTGAGGCTTGGAAACAACTGCCAGGAAGAAATACTGCAATACACACGTGGGTGCAGGAAGTGTGTATGTGTGTTTGGCAGCAGGTGGCATGGTTGGCTGCTTTAGGACCAGGCACTTGGTGACTGTAGCTAGGGTTAGGACTTGAAAATTCCCACTCTGGGCCTCTGGCCAGCCCGTGTGATGCGCTCTCGTAGGTCATAGGTTCTGGCTAAGCAGACAGTCAGGCCTGCCTCTGTCCTCAAGGAGGCCTCTGTGTGCTCCCTGTGCATTTCCCCTTGCAGATTTTGTTGTGTGTATGGCAGTGGTCTGAGCTACTTTGCTATCAGAGAGCTAAGTATTGATGACCTGCCCTGCCTAGAGGGGAACCTTTTAAAATAAAGTGACCCTGGGGACCTGGCTGGTGCCTGAAGTCCCCCAAATGGTGAGGCCTCGAACTCTCATATCCTGCCCAGGTGAAACTGCCCGAAGCCTGCTAGTCTGGAGTATATTTCTAAATGATATGTTGGTTGTTTTTTTTTTAATGTTTTGCAGCAAAAATTGGATGCAGAGTTTCAGAAGAGATTGGAAAAGAATAAACTGGCTGCAGAGGAGCAGACTGCAAAGCGAAGGAAAAAGCGGTAAGAGTCCCTTAACTGTAACAGGCCGACAGGCAGGAGGTATGAGTGTGAGGTGGCTGTGTGGGGCTTTTTGTTTGTTTTGTTCCGGGGCTGCTGGGGACTGAATCTCTGCGTGAGGCAGGCCTCCTACTACTGAGCTACGACGCCAGCCTGAAAGTGAGGGATGCTTAGTGAGCGAGACCTTGCAGTCAGAAGTCCCCATGTGACCTGCAGAGGTCATGGGTGTGAGCACCTTAGGTGGCACAACCAGGGAGTGAGTTTTCTTCCTGTAACTGGGGTGAGAGCAAGTCCCTTCTCCTGCAGCTTGTTACAGATTCCCCAGAGCCTAGGAGTAAGGATTTCTGTGTCTTTCACATCAGCCTTTCTACAGGAAGTGCTGTAGCTAAACATCCTATTTAATAGGCCTCTTCAATAAGAGTCTGTGACCTCCTCCAGTTGCTACATGGTTACACGGGCTCTCTGTGTTTGTACACACATATGCGTGTGCACTTAATGTGTGTTTTAAATAAATGGGCACTCAACTTGTAGGATGAAAATGCATCTCTGAAGAAAAAGAAAAAAAAGAAATGCATCTCTACAGCACTCTGGGAGGCTGAGGCAGAAGGATCACAAGTTCAAACCCAGCCTGGGTAACCTAGTGACTTAGTGAAACTCTGTCTCGAAATAAAAAGCTTGAGATGTAGCTCAGTGTGAAGGCTTTGTCGAATCCCAAATACCACAAGAGAAAGAGAATGAATATATCTGTAATATTTTGGGGATTGCTTTAATTACCTCAGGCCTCCCCAGACTTTGATCTTGATTCATAATGAAAACAGCTTGATAATGTCAGAACAAGAGAATTGTGAGAAAGTATTTCTTTTTTTTTAGTATTTGTGTTAGTATAAAGGTTTTTGTTGGTTTTTATGGTATTAGGGATTGAGCCCAGAGCCCTAGATATGTCCCAGTGTTCTTTGTATTTGTTTTTTAGTGACACTGGGAATTGAACCCTGGGCCTTTTCCCTGAGCTACATCCCTAGACCTATTTTTTATTTTGAGATAGGTCTCGCTAAGTTGCCCAGGGTGGGCTTGAACTTGGAATCCCCGTGCTTCAGCCTCCCAGAGTGCTGGTATTGCAGGCCTGCACCACTATGCCCGGCTCCCAGCCCTTTTTTATTTGTGTTCTAAGATGAGTCCTTGCCAAATTGCCCAGGCTGGCCTCGTATTTGTCATCTTCCTGCTTTGGACCCTCAAGTAGCTGGAATTACACCCATGCACCGCCAGCCCCACCGTAGTGTAAAGTATTTAAGGGTGCAATAGTAGGTGTTTATTTTCTAAAACATACAACACCATATTTAAGGAACCGATATATATGTTTTACCTTTGTAGCCAGAAGTTAAAAGAGAAGAAATTACTGGCAAAGAAGATAAAACTTGAAGAGAAGAAACAAAAAGAAGGCAAGTGGTGCCTATCCTTCTCCGAGTAGCCTTTCCTGGTTGCAAGCATCAGGAAGCCACGCTGGCTGCAGCAGAAAAGAAAGCTGCTGTCGTGCGTTGTGTCCGGGACAGGCTCTTTCTGGGCAGGGCTGGTGAGGGAGTCAGTGGCGGTGCAGTCACTGCTGCTGTCTCCCTGTCCGTCCCCCACCTCCTGGCCTCTCGCGGGGCTTCAATTGGGAGGCACCTGCAACTGTTCCCCAGGCTGCATCCAGCCTTACTCTTCTCCAGAGGGAAAGATTAAGGAGCTGTCCCAGCATTCCTAGCAGAAGTCTCACTGTGTCTCTTTGGTTTTGATTGAGTCACTTGCCAAGTCAGTTAAGAATATGCCTGCCAAAAAAACGTCAGCTCACAATGCTTAAACAAAGAGGAATTTGCTGCTTTTATGTGACAAAGAAGCCTGGTGGGTTCAGGAGCTCAGCAGCATCAAGCCCAGATTTTTGGCCCTTACCTTCAGAGTGTATGATGGCTGCCACAGCTCCGGCCATCATACTTGTTGTTCAAAACAGGAAAAAGTAAGGGCCAGGGATTTAGCTCAATGATGCCACCACCTGCCTTGAAAGCACAAGGTCCCGAGTTCAATCCCCAGTACCAAAATAAACAGGAAAAAGGGAAAAGAAACAGGGTCATAGTGAGACAGGGTCTCATTAAGTTGCTAAGTTGCCCAGACTGGGCTGGAACTTGCAGTCCTCTCTCAGCCTCCCAGGGTGCTGGGATTACTGATGTTCGCTCATGCCCAGCTTCTGTCTTTTCTTTTTTTTTTTTTAAAACTGGAGAGCAGGGCCAGGGATTTAGCTCAGTGGTTTCGCCACCTGCTGCACAAGCACGAGGACCCGAGTTCAGTCCCCGGTACCAAAAACAAACAAACAAACAAAAAAACTGGAGAGCAAACATTTACCCAGAAGTGTGCAGCAGGTGTAACCTTATATACTAGGTCACTTGGCCGTCCCTACCTGCCACAGGTTAGAAGAATAGAAAATAGAATTGTCACAACCATCTTAAACCTATTTCAGTCCCTCCTTGGGAGCTGGTACGTTGCTGCCCTAGGCCAAATTGAGGGTCTCTCGATAAGGAGGAGTGGGGGCTGGGGATCAGCATTCCGTGGTGTTCCCATCCTACCACCTCCAAAGTTACCATGAAGCTGGGAACCATCCAGGCAGCCCAGGGGCTGAGGATAAGCTAAGAGGCCGAGGATGCTGAGACTGGAAGATCCCAGCTGTCAGCCTCTGGGCTGAATCAGTGGCTGTTCCCATTGCCTGGGGTTGGCTTCTAGGTGCGTGGTTGTGGTTTTGAATTTAGGATAAAATTGGGCTTCCCTTGGTTACTGAAATATCAGCCCCTCTCAGAACCAGCTCCCTCATGAGTTGTGGATTTACTAGGTGGCACATTGTAGATGGTTTTGTTCCTCACCCTTTCCTGGAGTAAATTATTAGAAACTGCTAAAATGTTAGGATCTCATCCCTCAAATAGACCACTTGGTCATTTCTCTGACCTGCACATGGGATTGGGTGTAAAAGCAAGGGTCATGTTCTGTTGAGAGGATGTTCTAGTTTGGCCCCATGTATTATGAAATAGAAAGGTCTCCTGGGCTCTGGCATACTTGACCCTCCCCAGTCAGCGTTCACTGTTCATACTGCTTGTTGTCATTGTTGCTTACGTGTTCATTGACTTCTAAGTTGCTTACTGACTTTCCTGAGCTGGGTAAAGCCGGTGTTCTTTGTTTCATGGCCACTGAAGTCTCTGCTTGATAGGCTTAGTTAGTGATTTCCTTAAAGTAGAGACTTCCTTAAATGCCTCACTCGGACTTTGCCAAGGGACTCTGGAGCACGGCATCAACCCCGGCTGGCCATGTGCCGTTTTCTCAGCTTCACTTCCTGCTTGCATAGAGCTTGGAGGGCAGCAGAGCTGAGAGATTGGGGCCTTTGCAAGACTTTCTTGGGCATGCGCGAAGCCCTACACGTGTGTCCCAGCTTTTCCTCCTCAGCTTTTTTTGTTTTGTTTTGTTTTTTGGTACTGGGGATCAAACTCGGGTCCTTGCGCTTGCAAGACAGGCGGCGGAACCACTGAGCTAAATCCCCAGCCCCTTCCACAGCTTTTTAATCAGTTCCTTGTCTGCTTCAGCTGCTCCTGCCACCTCTGGTGCCTGCCATGTAAACTGTTGGGGTTGATTGTAGTTGACAAGTACCCTGGGGGAAAATGCTGTTCACCCGCTGTGCTCTGAGTTCGGTCAGCTGTGAGAACTTTCCAGGGAGCCAGACCAGTCACACAGGGACACGACTCCCAGCATGCTTGCCTCCTCCGGGGGCTGCTGGTTTCCACAGCTACTATGTTTGGGAGGCTCCTGGATTCAGGGCCTGCATCAGAGTTGGGGAGAGGGGACAGGAGTAGGGGACATTAAAGCACCACAGATCTCACTCTTACTACTGGGATCCAGGTATTTTTCTCAGACAAGCCAGGGAGCCAGTCCACAATTCTGGAGGTTTGATTTTTGTAATCTTTGCCAGGGGTCTTGTAGCTTTTCTAGAGGTTTTCTCTAGGTTGTACAGGTCCTGACTGTGCAGTTTGGAAGTGTTTCAGTCCCTCTTGACTTTAACTGCCTCTGTCATTACGTTTGAAATGTATGAGCTGTAAAAAGGCTTTTGTTTTTGCACCGCTGGAATGGCACCCAGGGCTTTGCACTTGCTAGGCAAGCACTCTACCACTGCGCACAGCCTCGGTTATTTTTTTTAGTCCATTCTGACAAGCTGTCTTTTTATGAGTATGGTTGAATTTAGGGCTACCATTTTGTTTATTGTTCTGTTTTTCATTTGTTTCTCCTTTTCTGTCTTTTTTTGGATGATTTGAATTGTTTTTGTTTTTGTTTTTTGAGACAGGGTCTCACTGTGTAGTTCAGTTCAGGCTGTTCTTGAACTCACTATGTAGCCCAAGCTATCCTTGGACTCATGGCAATCTTCCTGCCTCAGCCTCCCAAGTGCTAGAATTATAGGCGTAAGCCACCACACCTGGCTTATTTGAACATTTTTTGTTCTCTTTTGATGTGTCACTTATGTCTTTAATTCTTTGATCTTTTTATAGTGTTCATGTGCTTGTTCTGAGATTGCTATATACTTACTGCCTTTGCAGCCTGCTTCCTGTCTGTATCCACCAGTGGAGGTGGAATGTTGGAACTTCCCACCACGTGGGTTCTTTTATTTGTCTTATGAAATAACACCTGCAAATGTTGAAAACTTCCAGTGTTCTGCTTTTTTTCTTTTTTCTTTTTCTGCTTATTTTCAAACATCAGATATTTTTAAAGATCTCAAGAGAACAGCCTCAAATATTAACCAGATTTGTACTGTTCCTGTTGCTCTTCCCTTTTTCCTGGCATGTTTCCCTTATGCCTGAAGATCTTTCTTTAGTGATTAGGTCAGAACAGGTCAGCAAGCTGGGCGCGGTGGCTCCTGTTTGTAATCCTAGCACTTGGGAGGCTGAGGCAGAAGGACTCCCATGAAAGATCAGCGGCTATGAATTTTTTTAGCTCCTCTTCCTATCTTTATTGACCTTTGTCCCCATAGTTCAGTGTTACTGGATATGGAAATCTGGCTAGCACTTCCTTCAACACTGTGGATATGGTCTTCTGCATCCATAGTGTCTGATAATAAATAAATCAGTAGTTGTTCAGATTGTTCTATCATTGCTTTTTGCTGGATGCTTTTGAGATTTTTTAGTACAGTAATCCCCTCTTATCCATAACTTCCCTTTTTGCACTTTTAGCTCCTCACTGTCTGAAAATATTAAATGGAAAATTCCAGAAATAAACAACTCGTAAGTTCTAATAACTCTGACTACACTATATTGTTGTAATTGTTCTATTTTATTAGTAGTAATTATTAATCTCTTCATGTGTATCGCTTCTCGGCCTTTTGGCTAAGTTCAAGTGTAATCTCTTCATGTGTCTATAATTTCTTTTCTTTTGGGGGGGGAGGGGGCTACCAAGGACTTTTCGCTTGCCCGCCAGGTGTGGTGCCGCTGAGGTAAATCCCCAGCCCTTTGTGTCTAGTTTTGAAATTGAACTTTATGACAGAAGAACAGGAGCAAACACAGTCTGCAGACATAGGGCTCCATGCTGTCCAGGGTTTTGGGCATCCGCAGACTGTCAACACCCCTGAGGCTAGGGGCCTGTGTTTAGATTTCAGAGTTTGAGTATATGTCTGTGCATGAATTTCCTTCAGTTTATCTTGTTTGGGGTTTTTAAAGTTCTTTGAATCTGTAGGTGTGTCTTTTATCAAATTTAATAATTTCTGATTTATTTCAATTTTTGTGTTCTTTAGAAAAGTTCTAAAATTTCCATTCAGTTCTCTGTACCTTCTTTTTTTTTTTCTTCTTGCACTACTGGGGGTTGAACCCAGACTCTTCTTACTGAGCTTCATCCCCAGGCTCTTTATTTTTTGAGACAGAATCTCTAAATTTCCTAGGGACTGGGGATTTAGCTCAGTGGTTCTGCCACCTGCCTCGCAAATGCAAGGACCCGAGTTCGTTCCCCGGTATGCAAAACAAAAAACAAAATTTGTGGACTTTAGGGCAGGGGATTTAGCTCAGTGGTTCTGCTGCCTGCCTTGCAGGCACAAGGTCCTGAGTTTGATCTCCGGTACCCAAAACAAAAAAATTTTCCTGCCTCCTACCTCAGCCTCCACAAGTGCTGGGAGTACAGCCTTCCACTTCTTTGCTACAGCTTCTGTCTTCTGTCTTCCTTTTCATTTAACAGTATCCACCCTCCTGAATGCTTTTAAAAACATGCTTGTAAAACGTTTACTCATTCCAGCATCTGGGCTGTCTCAGCCTTTGTTGATTGACTTTTCCTATGCAAGTTGATGTTCCTGATTCTTTATGAGCTGAGTATTTTTCTCCTGTAACACAGACTCTTTGACTATTACTACCATGATGCTCTGAGTCTTGTTGATCTTTCCCTAGTGGGCAGTCAGTTT